CTGAACAAAAAAGATCTCTTACAAGATCAAGTCAGGGGCCACCTTCCTAGCTCACTGAAAGTTTAATATTTCAGAAAAGATATATGACATTTACTTAAACTCTATTTACCAATGCCAAGGCCAATATATATCTTGGAAACAATCTCAAAAATTTGTTTCAAAAAAATTTACTGAAAAAATATAATGTATACAGCTGACTAAAGCATGAGTTAGCAGCAAATAATTTTCAAGTCCTATTATATAGTCAAGACTACACAATTTGAGTGATTATATTTATAACTCTCCTGAAGATGATATATAACTAGTATCACTCTAGATGCACAGAAGTTTCTCCGAAGTGGTCCCTGGCCTAGTGATACTAGAATTTTCCTGGAACCAACCTCAGATTTACTATACCAAAAAGTTTAGGACAGGATTGTGCAATCTGAGTTTTAAAGAGTTCTCCATGTGATTCTGATATATGCTCCAGGGTGAGAACCACGGTCTTAGAACAGGTAAGGCTGTCAGAATATACCAGAAAATTGTGTAAGTTCAGGTAGACTTCCATAGCCTGTCAATGGTTATTGCTATTCTAACTTTTCTGCTTTTGCCAGCCTTCTCACAACTTCATTATTTTATCCCAGAGTTCTAAATCTACCATGCATGATGACAACGGAAACAATCTACTCAAGTCCAAGTATAAATATGGCTTTTAGTGGCTCTCAAAGGAGCCATGATTCTAGCAGCTTGCAGGGTAAAATGAGACCCAGTAAGAGAGGGAAATGCAGTATCAGAAAATATTACCCACAAGCCTTTTGAAAATTCATATGCCTCTTCTGTTATGATTAGGAATTTTAGCAAGCCAGGATAGGTATATCAAGAAAGGAACAGAGACAAATATTTATAAAAGCTCACACAAGAAATATCCTAATATTGCTTCCAATATTCTTAACCTATCCTCTATTTTAACAGTAGTACAGTAAAATTTGCTTTAAAAAGACATGGGCTCATTTTTAGCAGTACAAAAAATATTCTTCCAGTAAGTATAGCATGAATTATATTATTTGTCAGTGATGCCTAAGCATGAAATGTAAAGGAGTTTAAGAAGTCACAGTTCGTAGATACTGGTTTTGTAGATATTGGGTTTAAATATTCATAAAAGCCAAGTGTAGTGGCAGCACCTGTAATCCTAGTACTTGTGAGGCTGAGACATGAAGACTGTTGCGAATTGGAGATCTGTCTGGGCTACAAAGTGAGCTTAAGGCTAGCCTAAACTGTGTATCAAGACCCTGTCTCAAAAAAGACAATAAACAAACACAGACACACACACACACACACAATGTCATAGTGAAAAAAAGAATAATCACACTTGGGAAAACTTTTAGTATCTGGATTAATAAGGTTATTATTTAGCAAGCAGGGAAGTAAATACCACCTCATGTTGAATATGAAGACTAAAATTCAGAACTATTATGGTGCCCCAATTATAAATAATGAAGTATTAAAGTAAGACACCAAAAAGGTAACTCTTAGGAGTGCATTTTAAGCCTCTGCCATCATCAAAGAAAAAAAACAGTTATCAAACTCTCTTCCGCCTTCAGATACCTTTTCTTCTGTAGTAGGTTTCCTATCTATAATAATAATTCATGTGTCCTAGCTACATTGTTGTATGGCTCTTAGCTGGGGACCAGAGGCACAGAAAAAGATGGAAATAAACAGGTACAATCTGGATGGGCAGCTTTATAAAACACAGGGGCTAAAAAGGCATTAAAGATTGTTTAGCAGTGTTTTTTGTTTTGGTTTTATGTAGTTCTGGCTGGCCTTGAACTCATGGTAATCCTCTTGCCTTGGCCTCATAAGTGCTGAGATTACAGGTATACACCACCATGCCCAGCTTTTTTTTTTTTTTAATTAGTATATGCTTGTAATACACAATGATTACATTCATCATGGCATTTAGCAATGTTTCTAAAATGTTTTCCACAAACTGACAAAATTAATTATAACAAAACTAGCAATCTAGCATTTGATAAATTTCAAAAGACTATAACACTAAAGGCATCATTTTGGAGTAAAATTTCTTTAAAATCTAATGGTGTACCAAAATCAACTTACCTTTATTTTCTTTCGATGTTTTATCTTTGGTACATTTTTATCTGCAGGTCTTACTATTTTATCTGCTTTAATCCATTCATCATATCTAAAATTAAAGGAAATATAAATATGTACAACATATACAACAGACAAGGCTATGCCACATTAAAGAGAAATCCACATGTGGTGTCATAACATTTTAGAGCTGGAAAAGATCTTGGAGATCACTTAGTTTAATTCCCAGATTTGATGAATAAGCTACCAAGTCTCAAAGAGAAAGCTGAGAAGATCTCCTGAAGTTTTACTGGCTAAGCCAACCTCTCTTGACTTGTTGAGGTTCACTCCTTACCCTGCTTTGTGGAAGAGAAACCAAATCTGTACAAAACAGTTCTTAAGCACAGGCAGGCAATTTTATCTTTAGACCTGTCAAGAAGCTAAGGTAACATATTACATGTAAGTTTATGAACCACTCACTGTGTGATAGAAAATCTTCATGTTATAATTTGTGACAACACAAAATTGCCCTGAAAAAAAATATGGCTGTTTATAAAATACTAGAAAAATATTAGGATATGAAGTTCTCAATATTCTGAATGCTTCCTTCCTGTGTGTACACAGTTGAGAATCAGCAAAGCTGTAGTAACTATTCAATCCGATACTGATAATCTTCTATTATTTTACATGGTTACTATTGACTATAGTAAACCTATCTGTTTACAAACAAGAACAACAGTTTATATCTGTACACTCTGAGAAAGAAGAAGCATTAAACACTAAGTCATTCTTTTTGCATTCTAAAGGTCTATTATGGAAAATAAAAAAATTCATTGACAAAAGGTTTTAAAATAAAATGTTCTAATAGGGGTATTTTTAAAAGTAACAAAGGTCCCAAACCAAGAAGTAGATTATCTGAGTTATCACTTGACTATTAAATTATATTCATAAGCTACCACAGTCCTAGAAAGTATCTGGAGCAACTCCCAGGCAAAGCATTACACTGCTGGTATAAAATACTGCATTGGCTACAGTATACCTGAGGTCTCAACTGCATGTTAAAGGATTATGTCTCTCCAGGTTTCAACTAGTAGAAGCCTCTGAGGGACAGGATGAGAAGAGAGGACAGACATAGGAATGGAATGAACACTAGGAAAGTTCTAACACAATCCCTGCTTACTAGTCATGTGGGTCTAATCAAGCGATTTCAACATCAGGCTGAATTTACTTCTGTATAAAATAAGACTGCATTTAAAAAATTTTAAAGACTTCATACCACATGAGATTTTTTGAGAAGAAAATTATAGTACTTTCAAAGATTTAAAGCAAATATTATTCCTCTTTTTGGTGCTTATACTGATACACTAATATCGACCTACACATTTGTGGTATATTTTACTTTTTCAGCAATATGAAAAATTGCATGATGTTTAAGAACAGACATTAGTGACATGGGAACAGATACACGGTAGAGTGCCTATCTAGCATACATAATGGTTTTTTCCAGAGCCTCAACACTGGAAAAAAAAAAGAGAACAAAAGAATGAAAGCACTTTAAGCCAGGTGTGGTGGCACACACCTGTACTCCCAGCATTCAGGAGGCTGAGGCAGGAGGATCACTGCAAGTTTAGGGCCAGCTTGGGTTACATACATAGAGTTCAAGTCCAGTCTGGACTACACACAGTGAGACCTTGTCTCAAAGAAACAAACAAAACAAGCAATAAAAATAGTTGTAGTCATTGTAACTAACAGGTTACCGACAGGTTTCAGAAGGGGCATGTGCCTTTAAAAATCAATCTACTTATTTTAGTCTAAGAAATTCCAAAAACAGAAGCACACAGTTTTAACCTAGTTTACAAGTACTATATGGTTTCCAAAAAGCACTAGGTGGAGAATTAGAGAATACTAAATGAACTACATGATTAAACAATGAAGTATCAGAATGATGGTGAGTAACAGACCAGGGAACAGAAAGCAGCATTAAACTGTACACCTGAAGAGGAAGAACAGGTGAAAATAATACATGACAATTTTGGCTGAGAAGTTTTAAAGTTACAGTCACAGTTTTTTTAAAGTAAAGTTACAGTTCCCTTACAAAAAAAGGCTGAGACAATGGATATAAACGTATTGGCAGTCATATATTCCAAAGCACAACAAACTTTTAAATAGTGTAGTTAGTTGCCTGACCAACTTTACAAGGAAAATAAAAAATGATCAAAGATAAAATGACAGTTATAACTAGATATATATCAATTAGATATTATATTAGACAATATGTAAATATCTAATACATAATTTAAATTTACTTTCATTATAGAATACTTCCAAAGAACAAAAAGAAACCTATGTGAGGGGAAAATTGTGTCTCCAAAACTCAACATTCCCTTCAGATTACTAAAATTATCAAAGAAAGAACAGTGGTAGAATGCGTGCCTAGCTTGGGTGATGCAATACCAGAAAAGAAGTATCCACAGTGCATAAAGTTGTAGTTTACAAATAGAATAATGGGCCGGGATTTAGCTCAGAGGAATAAGCGCCTGCCTGGCAAGTGTGAGGTCATGCTTCCATCCCAAGTACCAAACAAAACAAAGCAAGACAAAAGAAAGAAACAGAGTATTATACAATGATCACTCAGTGATGATTTCTCCTTGTGGTATATATAAAGTGTTTATTCCTCTCTAAAAGTTCCCCCAGTACTCCCAACAGTCTCATGCTTGTTAAGCAAGCAGTCTACTGAGCTTATTCCCAGACTTTTATTTTGAGACAGGGTTTTGCTCAGGTTGGCTTTGAACCTGAGATCCTCTTGCGTTAGCCTCCTGAGTGACTGGTATTATAGTTGCACACTACCACACGCAGGCTTAGAGTATTTGGTCTTGGTTTTTGTAATCTGTTTTGGTTTGGTTTTGTTCAGACAAGGTCTTGTTAATTTCCAGGCTGGCCTCGAACTTATGCTGCTATTCCTGGATTCAGCCTCCGAGGATAGCCGAGCGCACCACGATACCTGGGTTCTTAAAGAGTACATTCTTTAATGTATACACAAAGCTTAATAGCTGAACCAACAAACATTTTCGTTTTTAAAAGTCTCTAGTCCTTTTATTAAAACATTGCCAAACATGACCAACTCTTCTCTTGCATCTATACTAGTCATTTCTGTACAGGGGCTTTCCATTATTCCTCACGCGGTTTTGAGCATCACACAGAGAAAAGAAAGATATCAACATGCACATCCTGATGAAGTTTCTGTACTGACTAAGCAGAACGGACACCAGTATTGTAATAGCAAATATGAAGACAGCTCTTCAGAGAAACTACATTATACCTAAAGAATTAGACTTCTTGCCAAGCACAGCAGGTCTGCTACCTTCAGCTTCACGTTTAACGATAATGCAGCAGAAAAACTGAGAAAGGAATTTAACTTCAGCAGTTGACCTACAAACGAATTAAATTGCCTTCCAACTGTAGATTCAAGCAACATTTTTATAGGACTGTTCATGAAAAACCAGGAAGAGTAAACTCACAGAAGCTATCCTATTTTTAATTGTTTTATCTTTAGAAATTATGGTCAGAAGGGAGTAACAGGCCTCTTCCTAACAACAGTAAATTTACCTTGCTAGGCACAGGTGAAAAAGGAAATCTTCCATTGAAAAAAATAGGGGGTCGGGGGTTTAGCTCAGTGGCGTAAGTGCCTTGGCCTGGCAAACATGAGACCAGGAATGCAATCCCTGGGACCAAAATAAATAAATAAATAAATAAATAAATAAATAAATAAATAAATAAAATTAATCCAAACAAATATTAAAGATAAAAGAGTTTGAAAATTATGACTGTAATTAGCAGAGTTGAAGGTGCAGCTCAGATGTAGGATGCTTGCCTAGCACACAAAAGGCCCTAGTTGAGTAGCACCACCACCAATACGAAGAAAAGCCAACCAAAAAAAGACTCTGATAAACCTGTTCTTCTACAATTCAGTTATCAATACATTCATTTTAAGTAATGTTGTAACATGTAACCTATGTTGCAACATGTACCTTAACTGATATACTCAGCTAAACTATTCAGAAAAACATTTTCAAGGCACAAAAGTAACTTGATCTGCGAACATTCTTATTCAAGTCATTTAACATTCAATTAATGGAATAGAGATGAAATAACATAGTAAGGTTAATATGTAATAACATATAAATAAGTTAAATGAATAACATTATAAACAACGTAAGTTAAATGAGCACATTTAACTCACAAAGATATTGATTCTTCCTATTCTATAAAAAAAGTAGTAACTAGCTTAAATGATTAAAAATTATGTGAGACTCCAAGACTTAGTATTACATAGACTTATTCACTACAGAAGACTAAGTATTACATAGATATATGCATAAGAAATAAGCTCTGTACTGGGCACTGATATTAAGCAATGAACATAAGAAACCATTCCTGCTGGCAAAGAGCATACAATTTAACAGAACAGACATTGCTAGTGTTATCAAAGCAATACAAACCTGAAACCTGAAAGAAGCAATCATGATATTTGAATTCTTTTAATGTTTTTAAAGTTACAGAACTATGAGAAACCATTCAGAGACCACAGCACACTTGCTCTCACCAGAGAAAAATAGAAGTTCTAAAAGCAAAACCTTATGACTTTTGTTTGGCTACACTAGAAAAATCATCAGAGAAATCCTTTAGCAACAATAAAAAAACGGAAGAATATTAGTCAACCAAATAAACTAACAAAAACAGTTCCTATGCACATCAATTCAGACTAGTTCTTTCCAAACCCAACTTACAAAGAAAAGGTATCAGCACGTAATATATATCCAAAAGGCATAGTCTTAAAGAATTTTTTTACAAATAAATTACATGCAGAACAAAAATATCTTAAAATAATTTCAGAGCAAAACCAAACTGACAGAATACTCTACAACCCACTACTGGAAATACACTTATACATGATAAGATAAAACCAAATCATCAACGATTAATTTAATTAACATAATCATCTATATTTTGTTTATTGTAGAGACTCCTTAAATTAACAATATGTATTTTTCCTTTATACACAAAAGTCATAAAATTAACTAGTTGTTATATATCTCACATCTAAAGTGGAAATGTAGACTTCCTTAATGAAATTTTCTTCTTTGATTAATAAAGTATGAAAACAGCTTGAAAAAAATTATATGACAATGAAAAGAAGGATTAATAGCTGTAAATTTTAGAAGCAATATTTATAAATTTTATATAATCCATATTTTAATCTAATATGAACAAAAATTAAAGCACTGTATTATTTTTAAAAAACTGTAAGCATATTTTTTTGTTTGTTTTGGTACCATGGATAGAACTCACAACCTCACGCTTGTCAGGAAGGTGCTTACGCTGCTGAACTAAATACCCAGCCCTCCTAAGCATATTATATTAACATTTCATAACCCTCATCAGAGACAAAAATGATACGCATCATAATTAAGAATGCAAATGGTTGAAACATGAATATTATAGCAAAACCATACTTAAAATTTGCCAGAAGCAGCTCAACACAATGGTAATTATATCAATAAATTTTTCTAAGGAATTTAACTCTCAAAGATGAAACAGAAGTATAAATCTTTAGGCATATAATATGTAATTAACAAAAACATATCAAATCATTTATCAAATTTGTAAGACTACTGCAAATGGTTTAACAACTGAGGTAACTGATTTTATATTTAATGTGGCTACTAGGTTTTAAAAATACCCCACCAGTTTACTTTGGTAAGTTTAAGGAATTAGTATTTGTGTCCATTTACACAAAAATACTGAAGCAACAACTGCCAATCTACAAAACTATCTAGTAGAATATGTTCAAGTTTATATTCTATATTAAACACATCACCCAGTCTATACAAACTACTGAATGGAACAGAATCAGCTTTAATAAACATTCCAAACTGAATACACAAAGAAGAATTAATTTCCATGAACTACTGAATTATTCATCTTCATGAATAAAATGTTTACTCTGTAATTAAGTTACTCTCCTCTAAAACAAATCTATACATATATACTTGGAAATTATTGTCAATGGGTCTTGAATTATTGTGCTACAGAAAGAAAACATAATATTCCAGTATTCTATGCTTTCTTTTATCTTCACCATAATTTCCAAGCATGTGAGTAAAGTAACTTTGTATTGTATTATATTCCTAAATCCAATGATATACACAATGAGCATATAGCAGGGATCAGATTACAAGGAAATAAAATAAAAGTTAATACAGAATATTCTAGCAAATAAAAGCACAGGGAACTTAAAAAATGACATTTAAAAGTTGTAGGATAGCCAGGCATAGTGGCACAAACCTATAATCCCAGCAACCTGTGAGGCTGAGACAGTAGGATCACTGTTTAAGCCTCCCCTGGCAATTCAGTGACTTGGTAGACCTTGTCTCAAAAAAACAAGAACTGAGGACATAGTTTTAACATGAATGTCTTCCTGAGTTTAAACACCAGCATCACAATTAATTAAATAAACAAATAGGTAGACAAAAAAAGAATAAAAAAGCCGCCAACTGAAAGGTTCCAATAAAATTCATTCTAGTCTCCATCAAAACTCCATTTTGGTTGCTAACAGTTACAAAAATTACAAAGCTTGAGTATAGCTCTTAAGTCAGAATATATCTACAGACCTAGTACTACAGATTCAACTACAAAAAAAATTTGACAGTACTGGATTTCACAATGTTTTCCTGTATGTAATACTGAAAGCAAAGGTTTAAAAATTAGATAAAGTGAACTTTATCAAAATTGAAAACCTTTGTACACCTAAAGATAGCATTTAGAGAATGAAAAGATAGCCCATGGAATGCATAAAATATGCCAATTACATGATATGAGATTAATATGCAGAATATATGAAGAACTACTCCAGCTCAACAACATAACCAACCAATTACAAAAATGGAGAAGAACCTGAGGAGACATTACTTTTCAAACAAGATATACATATGGTTAATAAACATGTGAAAACTATTCACCATCCCTAGTGATTAGGGAAATGCAAACTGAATCACAGTGAGATATAACTTTATATCCCCCAGAGTGGGGGTGGGGTGGGGGTCATGGTAAAGTAGTAGGGAAATTTGAGCACTAATACATAGAAGGGTGTAACTTATGCGGGAAGATATGATAGTCACTTAGAAAGTGAGCATGGTTACATATAAAATGAGATGTAAGAGGCTCCACTGAGATGTAACGAGCACTTCTGTCCTAAACCCCTAGTAGTCCTTTACTTTTACAAAGCAGTGATTTCCATTCTGTTGCCAGAGTCAATACGGCCTAACATCTGGTTAGTACTTTTATATGCCAGGTACATGCTTTTCTAAGCATAGTAAGGGATACTAGTGGAATATGGAATAGGATGTTTTTGTTTCAAAATTAAATGCATTTGCATAATACAGTATAGTTTCAACAATGAATAAAGAAGGCAAAAAGTTGTTAGCAAGACAAGAATTATCCACAGCCCTAAGTAGAAGTTTTATTCCAGGAGATAAAATTCTTTTAGCTGAGATAAATAATTTAGGAAATAATCACTATCAAAAAAGTAATTCAGAATTGGAAAAAATACGAAGTTTTAAAAAATACATGCAAGTCTGAAGGAAATGCAAGGGAATGAGTAGAACGGAGAAAACACAAAGCTAAAAGAGAATTAAAATGAGAAATACCTTTATATTGATAAAGGCAAAAAAAAATACAAAAAAGTCAAAACAGTTGGCAGCTACCATAACCTTCAAGTAAAATGTATCATGGACAGAATGATCTACTGGATGCAATAGCAATGGTGACAACAAAGACAAAAGGGCAACATATGAGGGTGGAATTTAGCTTCAATGGTGCTGATATGCTGTTTTGAAGACATGCTGTAGGGAGGACCCTGATGAAAATGAGTTTACACAAAAATGACAAACAAAAAAAATAGGACAGCAACTTCCAGGTTAACTCTTTCAAAACAGTTTTTTTGCTAGATAAAAATGTAGCCCAGAAATGACACATCAGGATACCAGCTGGGCTCAAAACAAGATGCTCTATTGGGGTTGATGGGACATGCCTGTAATTCCAGCACTTGTGAGACTTGAGGGAGGAGTATCATGAATTCAAGCCCCGCCTGAAGTACAGAGCAAGATACTGTCTCAAAACACAAAAGACAAGATTTTGTTTGAGAAATAAGAAATAACTCTGTATCTACATGTGGGTGGAAATGGCTCTAAACAGTAACAAATGACCCGGACTTTGACAAGAGGGCGAAGGAGGCTAGATAGTGATTATTCACCTATGGCTAGAGATGAAAACACTATGTGATCACAGATGCAGGTAGGAAGGCTTAGTAAGTTTAAATCTGTGGAAATTCTCTCAATTTAATTTCTCAGTGAGGTAAAAAGCAAAGTCACTGGCAGAAAGGATGGGGAAGAAACACTGGGGATGTAAAAAAAGAACAAACAGTATGAAACATTACTGACAAAGTAGACAAGTGAAGAGAAAATGAACAGGGAAAAATAAGGGACTTGCTTGAGGTTTACAGTGGCCAGCCAACAAAATCAGCTGTTCAAATAGGAGGCAAGGAGAAAGAATGTTCAGGGTTCTTGTGATTTTGTCAGGGAGTACTTATTACCATGACCAGCAAGAGAGCAAAAGACCAGAAAGTTAAAGAAGTTTTAACAA